TTCACTCCTTCCCAATATCCCATCTAAATTTCCCCTCTTTTAATTTAAAACCATTCCCCCTTGTCCTGTCCCTCCATCCCTTGTCCCAAGTCCCTCTCCAGCTCTCCTGGAGCCCCTTCAGGCTCTGAGGATCATTAATGCCCATCACTGACCCCGAGTAGTTTCTGATGACACAAATCCCTGCTCACAGATTTACTCTGTGCCTGGCACAGGTTCCTGCTGGAGCAGCCAGGGCTGGTTTCTGCTGGGCCATGGAGCTGAGCTTCACCTCATGTGGATCTTCTGCCCAGAGTGACATTTTTCCTCCCCTCCAGGTGGTTCCTGATCCGAGGGCTCTCGTTGGACACTCTCGTTGGGTGTTGGTGGAGGGCAGGTCAATGGCACATGTGCTGTGGTGCCAAAAGCCTTCCTGAAAAACAACTGGAATGGGCAGTGAAGCACCACACTGGGGGGAGCTGCCTCCATTTGTTTCGAAAGTGGAATAAAAAGAATAAATAGTCGTGGTCTGAGCTTGTTTGTTGTAGCAGCTGGAACAGCTGGACTGGTGAAGCACACCCAGCAGGGACAGGGCAGGTCTGGGGTGAGGTGAGGACACCACTGAGCTGCTGCTTCTGGGAGTCTTCCTGGGGTAGAAAATACAAAGACAAAACTTGCTTCCAAACAAGCAAGGACAGGAGGTGGCAGTGGGAACCCAGCAGGGCTCTGGTGGAACAGTGCCTGGGGGAGCTGTTGGCTCTTCCCAGACCTGCTGGGTCGGGGAGGGAAGGGGTTTGTGGGAAATCAGTGGGTTTGACAAGCAGGTGACCTGTGCTGGGTGTGGCAGACCATTCTCATCCTCACAAATCCTTTTTTTTCCCTCCTCAGCCTGTGGAAAATGGCTGGGATCCGAGGCTGTACCAGTAAACATTACTTGGCAGGGTATGAGGGGAGCACTGGCAGGGGAAGGTGTCAGTTCTATAGGGGGTCCCATTCCCAGCCATAAATGGGAGCAGTTTCCCCTTCACTGTAGCTGGGATTTGGCCAAACTCTGGGAGCAAACTGCAGGGCAGGTTGGGGTTGTTTCCTGGGATCCATGGGCTCTTCCTGGTGCACCTGCTCGGAGCCAGTCCAGTTATTTTGATGCTGCCCAGAGCCCTGTTTGCTGGTGGGCCCTGTTTGACCCCCTATTGACTGAGCTGTGCTCTGGGACCCCAGGGGACCTCAGGGTGTTTTCCATCCACAGGGCTGGAACAGCAGAGTGGAAACATGGCATGGATTGATTGGAGCCTCGGGACGTGGTTAAATCAGTGCAGGGAAGGGAGGGCCAGGCTTGTCCAGAGCTCTCTGTGTTCTGGGGGAGAGGAATATTTGCTCTGCTGGACAGCAGTTGTCCAGCTCCAGCTTCCTGAGTGAAAAAGTGGGAATATCCCTCCTTCTTCCTTACAGCTCACTGCACTCCCATCCTGCAGCACTCAGAAACCTTTATAACCTTGTTTGGACCAGAAATTTGGATTTGTTTTAATATGAATTACACAGGGAGGGTTGGAAAAGCCCTTCCCTGGCTCCACAAGCTGCTGGATCTGGTGCAGGAGTTACTGCCCTGACCACTCCAGAGACCAAAGTTTCCTCATTTTCTCCTGGCAGGTAAATTCCAGCCACAAAAACGAGGGAATCTTTTCAGCACCTGTTTGTTTCACAAACACAGCAGTGCCTGGCCATAAACTGACTTCTGCAAGTGCTGTTGTCACAAATCTGCCATTGAATCTGGAAGTTTTTTCCACTACAGAGTGTTCCTGGCTATAATTTTGGGATAAATGGTGAAGGATTGGTACTTTAATTCTTAAAGATATTTAGATCTGCCTCTCTCTTTGGGAAAATAGTGATGCTCTCTAGGAGTGATCTGGTGTTTTGTGTCTCTTGCTGAAGAAAGTGTCTGCTTCTCTCCAAGAGATCTTGGGTATCTGAAGGTTGGAATGGATGATCTTTGAGGTCTTTTCCTTACTGATTCCATGGTTCCCTCATGTTTAACCTGTTTAGTTTCCACCACTCAGGGTTAACGGTGTGAGGATAAACCAGGCTGGGAGGAGAAGATGGTTGTAGGAACTCCTCCCTGGAAAACCAGGCAGGAGAACTCCAAGTAGGTGTAGCAGGTCCTATGACTTGGCAGGCAGGGAAGGGGATGAATGAGCAGAAACCCTGGGAGAGAGGGAGTAGGGCTGAGATAACAGGTAAGAACAGGGAGTGGGAAGCAGGAGAGACTTGAGGAGCTGTTGGGCTCTGGGAGAAACAGGAGCTGCTGCACTGGGGAATTAGAGGATCTGGGAAGCAGATCTGCAGGAAATCATGCCCTGATTGCTCCTCTGCTCACCCCAAGCCTTGCCTTGCCTTGCAGAAGCCCAGCTGAAGGAGGTGGAGGAGCTGCTGCAGCAGGAAGGGCTGTCCCAGATCGCTCACAGCGCTGCCAGCGAACAGGTCGCCTATTTGCTGGTGGAGAGGACAGCACTGCTGGGGAAACTGGGGCTGCTCCACAGCACCACAGAGGGCATCCAGGTACCTCCTGCTCAGCTGCTCAGGCTGGGAAGGGAATGTCTTTGGGATATTTCTGCAATTACAACGGTTTCTCCTGTCTCTGAGTCCTCGGTGGAGTCTCAGTGGTGAAGTACCTGAAGGAGCTACGGGAAAGGTGGAGAGAGACTGTTCACAGGAGCAGACAGTGCCAGGACAAGGAGAATGGCTTCAAACTGCCAGAGAGTAGCTTTAGATGAGATATTGGGAAGAAATCCTTCCCTGGGAGGGTGGGCAGGCCCTGGCACAGGTTGCCCAGAGAAGCTGTGGCTGCCCCATCCCTGGATGTGCCCAAGGCCAGGTTGGACTGGGCTTGGAGCAACCTGGGCTGGTAGAAGGTGTCCCTGCCCAGGGCAAGGGGTGGGACTGGATGGGCTTTAAGATCCCTTCCAACCCAAACCAGTCTGGAATTCTTTGATTCTAGATTTCTTAGTTTCCACCCTTGGACATTGGCATTTGATTTGCTCCCACGTCTGCACAGCTCTCAGGGACGGGGTGGGATCGTTGGGGTGTCTGTGCAGGGCCAGGAGTTGGACTGGATGATACTTGGGGGTCCCTTCTGTGATTTTAAGGCCACCAATTCCCACCTACTCCTGACTGTGGCTATTTCATGGAGAATTCTGGAATTCTGTGAACTGCTGTTTGTTTCTGAGTGACCAAGAAATGAGGAAGGAGCTGGAGCTGGGGGAAAGCAGGGAGAGGGGGCAAGACCTCAGAGAGGGGTCAGGGCTTGGCCTTCTGCTTTTGTGCCTTTCAGTTTCTTCCTGTGGACAGGAATGGAATCCCACAACAGTTTGGGTTTGGAGGAGAGAGGGACACCCTCCACTGGACCTCACCTTGAACACTTTTAGGGAATTTTTATGAGCCTAATGCCCCTTGTTTTCCACCAAACACAAGTTCTCCCCAGTTCTGACACTGGGCACCATTTCTGTGGTTTTAAACCAGGTGAAGGACACTTTGGGAGATCTGTTTTCCCGGAAAACAGTCTCCCTGAGACTGATTATTCCCAGATGATGTCATTGCTGTCCATCCCTGTGAACCAGAAACTGTGGATTAAGCACCCCATTGTTCAGGGGAGCATCACTCTTGTTTCACAGAGTCATTAGAGTCCCAGCAGTGTTACAGGTTAATGGGTTAATTGCTCCTCTTACCCTGTTGGCGGGAATGTGTGGCCTTGCTTGTTCCCAGCTGACCTGTCCCACTCTTGGGATGAAGGGCCATCCCTGTCCTGTCTGGTACAGGGATGAATTCAGCTTTTAGCCAGGCTGACCAAGCAGAACTGATTGTTTTGATGTGTCACCACTAAGGCAGCAAGAGGGGTCCAAACCTGCAGTTTGTGTGGTCGGCTCTGACAGATCCACGGGGAAATATTCTGGGGTCACGGTGTGTGGGAGCTCAGGAACATCTCCAGGAGTGCAAAATATCAGTGACACCAACCTGCTGAGCCTCAGGAACCCTCAGGGATGGTTCATGGGGGGAGCAGGAGTGGGTTTGTAAATGGCTCAAAAGACAGGGGATGGCCTGAAGGATGGGTTTGGGGGTTCTCATGGATGGAAAGCTGGACATGAGCCCACAGTGTGTGTTTGCACCCCAAAGGCCAATTAAATTTGGACTCTATCCCCCTGCCCCCCTCAAGTGAGACCCCCCTGCAGAGCTGCCTCCAGCTTTGGGGGCCCAGCACAGGAAGGACGTGGAGCTGCTGGAGAGAGTCCAGAGGAGACCACGGAGATGCTCCAAGGGCTGGAGCCCCTCTGCTCTGGAACCAGGCTGGGAGAGCTGAGGGGGGTCAAATGGAGAAGGGAAACTCCAGGGAGACCTGAGAGCCCCTTCCATGGCTGAAAGGGGCTCCAGGAGAGCTGGAGAGGGACTGGGGACAAGGGATGGAGGGACAGGACACAGGGAATAGCTTCCCACTGCCAGAGGGCAGGGTTAGATGGGATATTGGGAAGGAATTCTTGGCTGTGAGGGTGGT